TAACTACATGTATCAGCGTGTTTACTGTTTCTCTTTGAGATACTGTTCAGTAACTACAAGTATCAGCGTGTTTACTGTTTCTCTTTGAGATACTGTTCAGTAACTACATGTATCAGCGTGTTTACTGTTTCTCTTTGAGATACTGTTCAGTAACTACATGTATCAGCGTGTTTACTGTTTCTCTTTGAGATACTGTTCAGTAATTACATGTATCAGCGTGTTTACTGTTTCTCTTTGAGATACTGTTCAGTAACTACAAGTATCAGCGTGTTTACTGTTTCTCTTTGAGATACTGTTCAGTAACTACATGTATCAGCGTGTTTACTGTTTCTCTTTGAGATACTGTTCAGTAATTACATGTTGTGATAAATTTGTTATTATGTTGACTGGGTTTTGGGTTTTTCCAATTTCCCGCATGGGGATGAGTGGGTGGTTGGCAGGTGCTCTGGTGTGGTTTGCTCCTTCTTTCCTGTCAAACTCAAACATCTATCACCCTTATTTCTCCTTCTTTTTTGTGTTTGTTATTGTCTTTAACACTTCTTTTCTTGTCGGCACTTACCACAAAATTTAAGAGCTGGTAAGAATTTGAAAAGCTGAGCTTGGCTTATTCAAAGTCACAGTACAACATGCTGGTTTGAGCCCTGATTTACTGAAAATGTGTGTGTTTGTGTTTGTGTGTGTGTGTGTATGTGTGAGGGTGGGGGGGGGGTGAGTCCGTGGAATAATGTGGAATAATGTGGAAAATTGCATGCATTATTCAAATCTATGCCATGGCAGAATACCCTTGTGATTTGTTGTTATTAAATGAAATTATTGGGATTTTTTTGTCTTGAATTTATGAGCATATACCCAAGAATTTCTTGTGGAAAATGTGACTGTATATTTTATACAAATTTAAATGTTGTACATGACCAGAGTCGGTGGTGTAGCAGTTACTTGCTTCACTGTCACATGCAACAGACCAGAGTTCCAATTCCCGAGTGGAAAGAAAATGTCTATCTCAAGATTTCTGCTGGGAAGCTGTGCCCTTCTCAGCCGGGGTTGTCCTTGTCAGGCAGTATGGGAAACCCACTTTCTAAATGATGAAAATTGTGTCAAAGAGGGTGGTAAAATCATCTGCATTAAGAAACAAACCAAAAACCCAAACCTAATAAACAAATATAAATATATAGTTAATGTCTGTGGCCTTACTCGCTCTCTGCCTCTGCCTCTGCTTTAGCTTCATGTCTCCCTAAGTGTGTTGTTCACAGCATTACCCTCTGTCAGCATTACTTCTTTTTCCTGCTGGTGGTTCTTCTTCACCCCCTCATCCCTGTTTGTGATGTCCGTTCTTAATTACCCCACCCTCACCCCCCCACCTCCTCCTCCCTCCTGTCGGGTATCTCCTTTTGTGATATCAGTTCTTCAACCCTCAGAGAATATCTCTGTGATGTCAGTTCTTCACATTCTTAGAGGATATCTCTTTACCCTCTCCAAAGGATAAAACGGATGTCTCCTTTTTTGTGTTTTTACTTATTGTAAGTTCTTCACCCACTTAGTGGATATCTCTGTTTGTGATATCAGTTCTTCTGTCAGTCTACATTGAGATGTATTGAAAAAGATGATTTTGTTTTAGACTGACTTAGTCTTGATTATGTTTGTCCATTGACACTGTCCTGGTAGTGGGTGGTTGGCGGGTGCTCTTGTGTGGTTTGGTCCTTCTTTCCTATCAGATGTATGAGGTATGCTGACAAAATGAGTTACTACTCGCAATCCAAGAACAGAAATATTGGGCGAAAATCGACCCTGAAGTCAGATTTATAGATTTTTAAATTAATATTTTTTTGTTCATGTCTACCGTGTCTTTTCTTATTTTGTACTTGCAAATTGTACAAAATCCACCAATAAAGTTGATGTATCAATTTCTATCGGGCTAAAATCTGAGACATAACTCATTTTGTCAGCACACCGTACATATCGTCCTTATCTCACTTCCTTCTCTTTTGTATTTATTACTCTCTTGTAACATTTCAAATCTTTGGCCCTCATATGACCATAATATTATTGTGTTGTAAGTGCCGTTAAACCATTTCTGTGGGTGGTTGGCGGGTGCTCTTGTGTGGTTTGTTCCTTCTTTCCTCCTAAACATCTATCGTCCTTATCTCTTCTCCTTCTTTTTTACGTTTGTTGTTACTCTCTTGTAACACCTCTAATCTTCGGCACTTATATGACCTTTTTGTGTTGCAACTGCCGTAAAACTCTTTACTAAACTAAACTAAAAACCCTTTCTAAGCTAAGAAAGAACTCATCAGAGATTTTGTGAAGTCATTCATTCCAAATGCACAGAGATGTATTGAAAAAAGCCATGGTTTGTTATATTATGTTGTCTTGACTATGTACTGTGTATGTCCATTGACACTCTTCATGCAGTGTTTTGTATGGGTGCATTTTTACTACTGTGTGAGTATGAGTCCTACTGCATTATTGTGTGTAATGATTGTTTTTTGATTCAAATTGTTCAAAGACTTTTGGTCATATGCAGTTGCGAGCGCCGTGAAACCTCTTCTAAAACTAAAAGATGTTTCGGTGTGTATTGGAATTTCTCTCTGGAGTATTGAAGCCCTAGGATCAAATCCACTGGTCTGTGGAAAATATTTTTTCTTTTGGGATGTCTGCCTTGTGAATTCCCGTATGCTATGTTTTGTCTTTGCTCAGAACTGACCTCAGTGTGTCTTGCTCTGTTTTGTTGGGGTATCTGATTCAGGTCCATTGAATTTTTTTTTCTAGTAAGTTTTATATTATGCTGGGTTTTTAAAAATACATTAGGAGATCTAGATGAAGAATGATGTTATGTGATTCAAAGATAGGTTAAGGAGTTACTTTTTTATATATACGTTTTTTTTTTTTGCTTTATGAACTCTTGTGTTTTAAAAGATTTTGATTGAAAGGACTGTTATTGTGGTACAGATGGATTTTTAAAGTCGTTTTTTATTTTACGTGTGTAAAGGAAGTATAAAGTTAAAGATAGTTATTTTGTCACTCACAGGTTCTTTAACTAGTGTGGGTTTTTTTTGTTTTTGTTTTTTTTAAATATTGTGTTTTCACTGGTATTGTGTTACAGATTTAATAAATATGTCGTCTTATGAAACTGTGGCATACCATGTTGCCGGAGTTACGTTGTTTGGTGAGTCTTTGACCCCCAGGGACTGGATAATGGGTGGTTGGCAGGTGCTCTGGAGTGGTTTTCTCCTTCTGTCCTATCAAACATCTATTCTCCTTAGGTCTCCTACTTTTTTGTGTTTGTTACTCTGTTGTAACACCTGCTCTAATCTTTGGCACTTATATGACCTAATCGTGTTGCAAGTAAGTGCTGTAAATCTCTTACTAAAAGGGGCTGGACATGCAGGTGCTTCATGAACCCACCATACAGGCTTATGCTTATAATATTATTGTGCGCTTTTGTGCTTTCTGGGCTTAGTGAAAAAGCAACTGCCTTTTTTTTTTCTTTTTTTTTGGTATTTGTTACACTTAATTTTCCTTTGAATTGTCTTTGTTTCTTTTTTCAACGAATCACTTTTTTGTTCATTCAGTTTTTAACTTTGTTTTCTTTGTATTTAATACTTAAATTTTCAATGAAATCTAACTTGATGACACAGATTCTGCCTTGCTTTGATTGTATTCACTTATATTTGATTTGTAACACGTTATGTTAAAAGGTTGTTATGGGTTATGTTAAAAAATCGAATTACGAACTTTTTTATAGTGGGTGGTTGGCGGGTGCTCTGGTGTGGTTTGCTTCATCTTTCCTATCAAACATCTATCGGCCTGATCTCCCCTTCATCTTTTTTATGTTTGTTACTCTCTTGTAACACCTCTAATCTTCTGGCGCTCATATGACCTTATGCAGTTGCGAGCGCCGTAAAACCTCTACTAAAACTAAAAACTACAACTTTTTTATATGGAGTTAAGTCCTGGACAGAAAGAGAACATGTGCCTACTAGCTCAACAGGTTTCATCTGTGCCTACAAGCTCAACAGGTTTCATCTGTGCCTACAAGCTCAACAGGTTTCATCTGTGCCTACAAACTCAACAGGTTTCATCTGTTCAGTTTAAGAAGAACAGCAGGGATTCAAAGCAGGGATAAGATCTTAGACACTGGAGCTCTTGACAGACCGAAAGAAGCTGTACTTCTTTAGTGTCCCCACCGGCGTCTGTGGTGTAGCGGGTCAGGTGCTTTGCTGTCGCATGCAGGCGGCCGGAGTTCAATTCTTGAGTGGGGAGAGTTTTATCGAGATGCTATCTCGGTTTTTGTGTTGGGATGTTATATATATCCCTATCTGCCCGAGTTGGCCCCAAAAGGAAGGGTTGGAGCGCTACTCCTAAATGTGAGGTAGCGTGGTGGAATCAGGCTCTCGTCAAAATAATTGAAGTGAAGAAACTTGCATTTTTTCGCAGGTTTGTGAATTTTTATCAAATTTTTGTTTTTAGGCTCAACACCTTTCATGCCCATTAAATGACTCATTTCTGTGTGGATTTTTCTGAAAAACGTTGAATAAAGGCACAAAAAATTAAAATTATCAGTTACCACGGACTCTTAAGCTAAGAAAATAACAAATCTTTGGCGGCCATTTTCTCACTAATTTTACCTCTGAAAACAAGTGACCCCCACCTCCTTCTTTCGCAAATGTCTCGAATTGTATTCAAGATAAATGGATATTTTTTTCATCCAAATAAAGACAAGTGAACAAGCTTTAAGATGATATCAATAACTTTACATGCCCAAAAATTGACGAGAGCCTGATTCCTCCACGCTGCCTCATAAATGATCTTGATTTTGTCGGCAGGGGTGTAAAACAACTGCATCAAAACAGAACAAACCCCCCCCCCCCGAAAAATATCTCCTATCGTATCTAGTGGTATTGTTCCTTCCTCGTACTAAATTGCCTTATGGTGTCGTATGCGCTTCTCTTTAATCAACGTAAACTACACCATAAAATATAAATAATATTGTACAAATAGACTCGTTTTTATGAAAGAGGTATTTTAATAAAGTGTATACATGTATAATGATGGTTAATGAATGTTGGGAAAAGAGTATAACAATCTTATCACAGACAGTTGCTTGTATAATTGTCACTGCCACAACCGATTTCTCAGATGGGAGCTCGAAAATGTGTCAGGTTCAGCGATATGCAAATCTTTAAAATGACTCCATTCATTCTAAAGCTTAATGATGGAGTCTGAAGTTTCATTCAAAGCATTGCAAGGGCATCATAATTTTAAAACTATTTTTATGGTGTCTTTGGCCTAAAACATCCCAATGTAATCTCTGTTCTGTGACGTCATGATAACGTTATTGGTTAAGAACCCACGACGTTTAATGAAAATATCTCATTGCCATCATTAGTCTTTCAAAACACCACAGTGACGTCATAAGTTGTTTGGAACATTGCGTTCACGTCATTTAATTGCTTAGATTACAGACTAGCCCGGTGGTGACTAGATCTGTTCATGACGTTATTTCCAGTATTACTTTTTCATCCCCCGTTGCCGTTAAGCGTCGAGGGTGGATGACTACATTGTAGTTTTCTGTGGGAGGTGGGCCGACCAACTCTGCAGCTCTTTGAATTGGGTTGTTATAGTCTGTTCATTTGTAGGTTTGTTGGCGAAGTTCCTTTATTTAGGCTGTTCATTTGAAGGCGAAGTTCCATTGTTTAGGCTGTCCATTTGAAGGCGATGTTCCGTTGTATGGTCTGTTCATTTGTGGGCGAAGTTCCTTTGTTTAGGCTGTAGTCGGCGTACGTTGCGCTTGAGGGAGTTACTGGTGAGGTTCAGAGCCAGACGGACCTGCCCCAGCCACGGCTTATCGCTGAACGAGTTGGCCACGGTCAGGGACTTAATGGCGCGCTCCCTGGAGCTGTACCCTCGGTATTTTGATACCAGGTCCAGCGTACTGTCCACGATGTCGTCTTCTCTCATGCCCTGGTGGTAGAAGAAGGGCCTTCTGTCCTGCTCGTGGCTGATGAGAGGTAGGGGTATGGCGCCCTCGCTGGATTTCGCTTTGGACAAGAGAAGCGCGCTGGAGACGCGGTTTCTTCGCTTTTTCCTGCCTCTCGTCTGCTTTTTTTCCTCCTCAGTTTGGACGTCGTCTGTGTTGGAGGAAGCGGACGTGACCGAAGCTGCCGTCTGGGTCTTGTAGCGCGCCGTCTCCGCGCTTCTGTCGGACATGACGCTTACACTCGGCTCTACTTTGGACTTGTCGCTTCGCTCGGACATTGGAGCTTGTTGGCTGGACTGTTGCACGGAAGACAGGCCACCGAGTTGTGTAGGGAGCGCCCCGGCCCGAGCTTGTTGTTGGGTGGGGTTCGAGGACGATGACATGAAGAAGGCGCCTTTGCTCTTCACCAAGCGCGACATCCCAGATTTATTATTGTTGGTGCCGTCCGGTTTGTCTCGGTCTGTTTTGGCGGCGCGTGGAGTGGGCTCCGGCTTGTTGTCTTTGGCGTTGAGGCTTGTGCCCACATTGGGCTGGGACTGAGACAGAATGCGATTGCGGAAACGGTTCAGGATGGGCGGAAGTCTGGTGACGTCATCCGAGGCTTCCGATTCCTCGGCGGGGTTAGAGGGCGGGGCGTGTGGCTTGGATGGTTCCGGCGTGGCGCCCTCTAGTGGTGACCTGACAGTCACGGCTTTCTTGGCATCTCCTGGTATAACAATGGAATAGAGAAGTACGTCATAGTACATGTATATAAAACACTACATGATATTGCTTTGAAGAGCAAAAATAACATATTTGTATGTTATATAACGCCACCAGCAACGCTATTAAATTATGAAAGAGGCGTGGTCTCCTAGTTTAACATCCATATCCGAAAAGACCGAGACGAATGAGACATTCATGTTAAGTTCATTTCCCTAGAACGCAACGTCCGACCTATCTAGAATTGCCGAACTGGCAATTTCACGGTCTTATGGGTCCGATCTCCTTTACCACTAGGCTACCGACGCCACTATAATTCAAACGTTGATGTAATCCAATTTTTATTAATTCCATTATAAAGAGACTGAATTTGAGTCATCAGAATCAATTCGCAAATTAAAAATAAAAGTTATGAAGATTCTCGGTCGATCTTTCTGCTGGGACATTGTAGTATCCCTCTCAACCTAGGCCGGCCATGGCAGGCGGGATCGGAAACCCGCCTCCTAAATTATCTTCAATGTATCGTGTCGGGAGAATTTTATTGAGCAGAACGTATTGGCCTTTTTGCTGGGCGTTGTGTCCCTCTCAGGTCGGGGACAGGGTTGAAGCCAAACTCCTACGTGGTATAAATTGTGTCGATGATGAAGTAGCAACACCTGCACTTTAAAACATTTGTAAAAATGTCGAGATACTTCTCCGTGGAAACCATATTTCGAAACGACTTATTTGTATTTAGCAGGGCGTTCAATTCTTTAAAAAAACAAACACAATACCCACCTGTTTCCCTCGCCGTCTCATCACCTTGACCTTTCACCCTGGAGCCCAGCACAAGTTTCCCCCATTTGGGTGGCAGTCTGCCTTGACCCTGCAATGCCTTCATGCTCTGTGACGCGTTCACGTTCTTGAAGTAAGACTCGGGCTCTTCCGT